TTAGCTTTGGTAGCTCTTTCAAATTTTTCTATCCAGGTTATAGGGTCTTGGGTTCTATCATTTTGATAATAATTTATTTTAATAAATAACTTTTTTTTATTTTGTCCAAGAGCTTTGGCAAGTTGAGTTATTACTTGTATAGCAGCAGTTAAAGCAGCATCTGCCATATTGTTTAATAGTATTTGTTCAATTTTTTTGAGTTAGAGATTTTCTTCAAATTGTTCAAACTCAAGGTTTTGGTCTTCTTGGTATTTGGATATTACAATATCTCAGATTTGTTGTTAGAAGAATATTCACCAGGTAAAGGGTATATTTTAGATAATTCAAGATCTTCAAAAAAATTTGGTTCAAAGTTAGCTTCTAGGTCAATTTCTATAATTTGATAAGTATTTTTAGAATAGATAATTGGAATTGGTTAACAAAATTAAGGTGGAGTATTTAGAGGTATGGTGCTTAAAGATATTTGGGAATAGGCTTTAATAATAAAAGGAGGGGATAGATTATAGTTGTGTGATTAGTAGAGAAAGAATTAATACACTAGATGAATTTGTTAAATTTAGTAGATTGTAAACTAGTAGAGGGTATTGGGCTAGGTAAGTGAGGGGGAATATCTAAAGAGATTGCTATAAGAAGGGAAGAGAAGAGGTCGAGAGGAAAATTCTATTTAGATAATATTTTCATTATATAAAGATAAACTAGATAAAGTGGGGTTGTTGGAAATAGTATCTAAATCATCAGATTTTAATATATATATTGACTGTATAGATAGGACTATATTAAAAGTGATATCTGTACTAAGATCTTGTTTACAAAAAAAAGAATAATAAGCTTTGATAGTAGTAGCTATTTGATAGAGTTGTAATGTGGTTGATGAAAAGGAGGCTTTGATATAATAGTCAAAGATATTGCCTTTAAAATCAAGAAGTAAAGTAGGAACAAGAGTATAAGGAGTATTTTGTCAAAGAAAGTCAAATATTATTTTCTTCAAATCTAAGTAAAGTTTAATGTATCAGCAGCTAAAGACAATATCATAGGTAGCAGCTTTAGCTATATTATAATCTCAGGTAGTACTTGGTTAAAAATAGGTATTAACTGTCTTTTGAGTATATTTGGTAGCAAAATAGTATTTCTATATTCAGTTCAAAAGTGATGATAAGAGTGATGAAAACTAAAAGCAGGATAACAAATATTGCAAGATAAATCAGAGTTTTGTAATTATAAATCTTTAGTGAGTAGAGTAGATAGGTGACTGGCTTTGTGTGCTTTGATTTGTTCATGATGAATCTCATAAGCTTCAATTTATATAGAGTTTTGTCTAAATTTGTATCTAAAATAATTAGTAACTAAATTAAAATTTTTAGAATTACTTACGTCTACACTTTGGCTTATAGGTAATTCGTGCTTAACACTTAGTTAAGGTTTGCAGTAAGCTATAAGCTTCTGGTTGTTATGAAAGCAAAGGTTTAAAGTAGCTCTTCTATACAAATATCTTTCAATTTGACAAGACTTTCCAAGTTATTACTAAAGTAGAGATATCAAGTATACCCTTCTATGCAAATCTCTTTTAATTTGACAAGTTTTTCAAGTATACTATTACTATTGTAGTAATAAATATTTATAAATAAATTAACCTTTAAGAAGCAAAAAAGAATACCAAAATATTTAATTTTGATTTCTGTCAGAAAGCAACAAAATATTACAAGTGACTATAATCTTCTTGTAAATATAGTACTTGCAATATAGCACATGGTAGTAGGGATCTTGAAGATAACAAAAAGAGATATGAAGTGATGTAGAAGTAAAATATTACTTTACTAAAATAGTTTGGTATAGTTTATTTATAGTTTATTCAAAAAGCAAAAGATATATATTTATTGATGATATAATATTTAAGATACAAGACTATCAATAGATATCTGTGCCTAATGAATCCTAATAACTAAAGATTGCAAAGAACTAATCTTAAAGCTACAGGAGGGCAAAAAGCTAGAGTTTATATACTTTTATAAATACTAAGAAAATATCATTGTTATATAAAATACAGATAATAGAAAAGGTATAAAAAGTATAAAAGATATAAAAGGTATAAAAAGTATATCTCTAATTATCTGGCTAACTATTAGTCTGTTTTTTATATATTATAGCTTGTTATAGTCATAGAAATCTTCTGGGTCTTGTAAAGTTATCTAATCTATTCTATAACAATAGCTTTAAAAAAAAACTAATTAAATAATAAAAAAAATTATAACTTAATAATTAGTAAAGTTAAAATTTAAACCCTTAGACTGAAATCTTTGAGTAGTAAGTGAGGATCAAGATTAGTTGACTTAGTTTTCTTTGCTTTTATCATTTTTATCAATATTTTTATATTAGATTTATTGTTACTTTTATTTTTACAATTAGTTCTATTATTACTGTTATCTTCATCAGTTTTATTATTATTATTTTTGTATGTTTTATATTAAAAAATAGTGTGATTATATCAAGGTTGTAATTATATCAAGAGTGACTATAACAAGGTTAGACTATAAATAATTTATTTTAATATTAAATAAATTATTTTTTAAATGAATATCTAAATGATATTAAAGTTAGAGTTTTTTATATATTTTTTTAAATATTAGAAGGTTAGAGTTATAAGACTTTTACTAAAATGCACCTATGGTGTTTTACCGTGTAACCGCGAAATAACGCGCAGGGATGTAATTTCAATTTTCGGCCTAAATTAAGCTTGATTCGGGCCAAAATTCAAAATAACGCTCCTATGCGTTATTTCGCGATTATACAGTATACAGTCAGACCCTCCTAAGTGCACATTCCCTAAGTGCACGGTATATGAAAAACTCCTCTAATATGCACGCCCCTGCTTGATCCCAACTCATATAACAATTATAAAATTTAATCTCCCTAAGTGCACACCTCCTCTAAGTGCACATTTTGCATTTTTTTCACTATGGTCCCAAGGGGTGTGCACTTAGGGGGTGCGACTGTACCTGTGTATATATTACCTCAAAAAATGGTTAATTAATCATACAGGATGTCCTAAGTAAGAATGCTCTACGCCTCTAAAAACCTCTTTCAAACCTATCCATAACCCTAAATACTAACACTAACATGAAAATTTTGGGTTAAAAATTTTTATATTCAAAACTTAAAAAAATCTAAAAAACACAATAAAATGTATAGGTGCGTTTTATAATAAATACTGTATATAAAAATACCCGTAATTTGCGGCAAATAGTACCCTTGTTAAAGTACCCGTCCACCGTCAATTTAGTCAAAATGTATAATCAATTGACGGTCTAATCAATTTTAAGGCCTAGGAATGGGGCACTATTTGCCGCAATTACGGTATTATTACCGTAAACGCCGTATACAAGATCCGGGTCTAACTCATTTTACCAATTTTATAATTAGGCCCGTGGGTCTCTTGTATGGATGAGGGTCTGATAATTGGGGGTTTATTCTATTTTATTAGTTTTTTTCATATTTGTATACCCCGGGTCTCTTACATTTTACCAAAGCTTTATCCATGCAGGTATGAAGTACATAGGGGTCTGATTCCGGGGGTCTTGTATACGGCAGTTTACAGTAATTAAATTTTGCATATTATATATCAAAATAGAATCTTTGTTAATTTCAAATACTATACATTGTACCAGAATTTTAAATTAACTTGATTTATTGAGAATTTAAACTCAATTTACATGAATGCCGCCTTTTAGGAACAATCTAATTTATTAGGGATTGTAAATATACTGCGGAAAATAGTACCCCCTTGTCAAAGATTTATAAAAGAATTGGGTATATTTGAAATATATGCGTCCAAGTATTTTCGCGTTTACTTAAATGATTGGTTAACTTTATTGCATCTAAAGTATCCCTTACATAATCCCCATATAAATTACCCTCCACCTGACAAGGTACTCACCGGGTACTAATCAAGATTTTGCCTAGATTTTGCCCCTGGGAATGTAAGAGACCTGGGCACTATTTGCCGCAAATTACGGTAATTGAAAGCCTGATGACAGGTTTACCTTGGCGGCACTCATATAACGCACTGAAATTCTTTCGGATCTGAATAATTTCCCAAATTAGGTAATATTTCTCTAAAAGTTACGAGAAGCTTCGTAAGCTCAATTCAATATCACAAATCGGCGACACAAAATGCAGTTGCTAGGGGGTAAATGTGAAATTTGCCAACGTAAAAAGGCGAAATTGCCTTGGGATGTGGCTGTCATCCCAACAATCATGCTTGTAACAATATAATGTAACTAGAATATAAGTATAAACAATTTTAAGATTTTGAATAGATTCGGGGTTAACTTTACTAATTGTGTGAATTTAAAATTTTTTTCTCAAGTGAATTGCACGGCAAAATCAAACAAAAACTTGATTTTCAAGGTTTTGAATCTATCGATTTACAGTATTGTGCTTTAATTACAAAATCTTTTATTCTAATCTGACTTTAAACTTCATGATAAGTTACCATGAAGTATAAAGTAAGATCGGATTCCTGTAAGATTTATATATTTATTATATAAAATAAAATTGTTTTAATGCCCAATACTGTAAATTGATTCAAAAATTGTTAATAATTATCGATAAATACCTGAACAAGTGACCCAGATATTAAGAAAGTCAGAAAAATCTAGTACTGTATTTCATAGTGAAGACACTTGTTTTCGTAGTGAAATTAAAGTATTGCGTGAATTAAGTTATATACTATGGTAATTTATTCTATATGATAGCTCTTTATTTGGGTCAGCTCGTGGAATGACCCACCCGTTTCCATCTGGGTTGTTACAACTCAATCCTGGTCACCTACCTGAGTCCAATCACTAATTCATTGGATGTGTTAAATTAATATACAGTATATATAATACTGTATTAATATATATAAGTTTGTAAACTTTACAGTATTGATTATTTGAAATATATATTATGGAATAGTAGTTTTAAGATATATGAATTAACTGGATGAGTAAATAAATTTCTACATGACTAATGATCTCACATCATCATGTTATAGATGTCAGCTTTGATTATAAAAATTTTGTCGGTTGGCATAAATTTAAAATAAAATTAAATCATAAAAAAATTCGGTTAGCAGCTATTATACTAAAAACTGATTTTATCTTTTTTAGAGAAGTGCGCACTGCTTCGGGACGCGCATGGGGAAATATTGGTTATTGCGTTATTTTGAAACAATCTGTCTTTGTGACACAGTACAATATAATTTTTCAAAATCATCCGCTATTTCACGAAAATACGGTGACTTTATTTTCGATTAATGATTTTGCAATCCGTTGTGTAAACGATTCTAAATTTAGATGTATGGAGTTTAGCAACATTCATCTCTAATACAATATTGTTTTGTATGCAAACTTTCCTGAGTAACGCGCGTTAAGAGATAATGATAATCAAAGTTTGGACAAACTTGAACAAAAAAGGATTTAGATCAAAAATCTGCGTACAGCACTGATAAATAGTATAGTGTTAGATTTATTATATGGCACACAAAATTAAAATAGGCTGAGACTCGGGATATTGTCCTTTTTGATATAGTGTGTCATGATAATTTTATTATATTATTAATTTATTCGTAAATATATAGAGTATTCACCTCTACTAATAAACAAATAGCCGTCCACTAAGTAAAAAATATTCTTGAGGAGAAGAAAAAATTTTTTAATTGTCGAACAAAGGGGATCATAGGTCATTTTTGTGGCATTTAAACTTAATATGAGCATGAATCTAAAGTAGCTTTAATTTACGGGCGTAGATATTATTATTCTACATCCCTGAATTCAATACATAGAAATTATGTACTGCAAGATTTGATCATTCCAAGGTGTTTAATTATGTATGTATGATTTTTTATTGATTACACAAAATCTCATGACTGCTACAAAGATTTTATTATCGAACTCGGCCTGATTTATAAGCTGGTTAAGATATATAACTACATATCTTATTATTATTATTTAGTATTATTACTATATATTTCGTAAAACTTTATTTTCATAAAGTGGCCTGATATTAAATTAAGCTCCTGAAATTAGATCTTGCATGCAATGATACAAGCATTAGCCAATGTAGCAACTGCATGCAGGTTCATAGGCAGAAGTTAGTCTGATTGGCTAATAAAATCAATTTAATTTTACATTATTTATACAGTTTAAAGTACTTTTTAGAAAAAATAAAATTACGAAGAATAAACAAAAAAGAAACATATGAAAAGTTTTATTAGGGTTGTAGGACTCCACCATTAAAAATAATCTAATTCAATCCTGGTTTTAGAGAAGTTAGCACGGTAATAACCTATCTTTAATAAGTCGCTATTATGCTAACTTCTCTAAAACCAGAATTGAATTAGATTATTTTTAATGGTGGAGTCTTACAACCCTAATAAAACTTTTCATATGTTTCTTTTTTGTTTATTCTTCGTAGTTTTATTTTTTCTAAAAAGTACTTTAAACTGTATAAATAATGTAAAATTAAATTGAATTTATTAGCCAATCAGACGAATTTCTGTCTATGACATGCAGGTGGCAACTACAATCACGACATACAAAGTTACATTTTGACAGGGTCTTTTTATAAGTATAAAATTATACGTATCTTATTTTACTTCATAATAATGACGATAGTATATAATCATGTATAGTACAGTAGTAATGTATAGTATACAGTATATATAGAAAATACGTATATGCTATATATTATATATTAAACTTTTGTATAAACGGTAATGTTAACTTTAATCAGAAGCATTTAAACAAAACTATTGTGTTATGAGTTATACTACAATAAATTATTTTATACATTTCTTAAAATAAAATAAAAAACAATATTGCACCTGAATTAATAATAAAAAGTTTTTAGCATCACGTGCGCACGTTACATAAACACCAAATAAAATTCAAATTGCTTATATAACTATGAGATTTGATGATTGTAATCAATAGAAGGCTCATTAAGTAATGAAACTATTTGTTATGCCCCAAACTATTTTGCCCTTAAAAAAGAAGAAAACAAAGATCCATCTAGCATAGCAAACTGAAGTACGCCCTTGAAAAAAATAGTGAATTCATCTTATCTAAAGAATTATAACAAAATGTTTAACAAGTGTAACCGTTGTAATTGAAAGTAGAATTAGCCAAATTTAAGAATCTAAAAAGTATATTAAGGAAATATCTTTGTTATTGATTACAAATGTTTGTGATCTCATTATAAAATTCTTAAGGCATATGATCGATAAATAAAGTTTGAACTTTGTAAAAATTATGTGCACCTATCAGAGTACATATTAGCCAGAAACGGGGCAAAAAAAATTTGTGAAACCCGATTCTCTTTACGTGTAAAGTTGTGGTTATGTTTGTTTATTGTTATTACCAAAATTGTCATTCTGGTAAATTTTTAAAATGTTTTCCTAACTGTTATTGTTACATGAGATATTGAAGATTACCAAAAATGCTTTTTTTTTTGTTTTCCCATGTTATACATATCTGTTAAATTCTAGCTGCACTATCAAAAATATCATGCAATTTGTGGTAAGTTACAATGAATCTAAATTAATTAGATCCCACTATCGTTATGACTACAGAACTAAGGTGTTATTGTTTTTCTCCAGTTTTTTTGTAACACATTATTTTTCTCCAGTTACTTTTGTAACAACTGTTTTATAGACGAGAATGTGTTACTTTGAAAAAAATGCCCGGAGTCCAGAATTTACATTATACGTACAATGGTAAATGGTAGATAGCAGGTTGTGAACAAAATTAGACTGTTATTAGAAATACGTACAAATGTGAATGCATTTAGAAATTTTTTTTCTTTACAGCAAAATTCTTAACTGTGTACTATAGTGGAGTCTATTAGGTCTATTAGAGGTTTTAAAAATTGATGGAATGTAAAAAATCTAGATCTTGTATACGATCATGTACAGCAATCATCAAATATCATCAAATATCATCAAATAAAATTATTACAAAAAAATAGTATTTTTGTGGTAATGACTATATTATTAAATTCTTTATTACTCATAAATGAGATATTTAATTTAAAGTTCCAAAAAAAACCCCATTATTAACCAATAAAATAAATAAAACTTAATGCAAAAAGTCTCCATATTTTTAAGCGAATAAAAAAGTGATTCATTAAAAAACAGTACAAATTCAAAAATTTTTAAGTTATGATAGTGAAATAATGTAAAATTGTGAAAATAAAAAAAAGACAAATATTATTACTAAATTCAACATGTGATTAGTTTAACCCTCTACATGATGGAAACATTGGTATCATTCTGTTGATGAATAGTTTCCTCCTTAACAGTTTTAGTTTCACCAGTTCTTGCATTTACTGTAACTAATCTGTCAACATGATAATATGCCAATTCTCCTAACTCGGATTCGTCAAGACCTTTAGTTTCTGAATCGAGATCTGCACGAAGTGAAAGTCCAGGAATTTTATCCATGACAAATAATATAATGTAAGTTACCACAAATGTATATACTATACTAGCTCCAGAATTAGCAAGTTGATAGCCCATTTGGATCCAATTTCCGTCTATCCAACCACCAGGATGATCCAGGCCATCTAATGCAAAAACTCTTCTACTAGCAAAAATACCAGTAAGAATGTTGCCAACCAAACCTCCAACAGCGTGTACAGCAAATACATCTAACGCGTCATCAAAATCAAAAAGATGCTTTAATTTGACAGCTAAATTACAACAAATACCGGCAAAAAGTCCAAAAATAGCACCAGAGTAAGCTTCAACATAACCTGATGCAGGTGTGATAGCTACCAAACCAGCAACTACACCTGAACAAAAACCAAGGGCTGATAATTTCTTTTCTAATCTATAATCCATTATTGCCCATACTAAACCACCAACGGAGGCTGCCAAATTTGTAACAACACAAGCAGTAGCGGCGCGAGTATTTGCTGATAATTCTGAACCACCGTTGAACCCAAACCAACCAAACCAAAGGAAAACAGCTCCAAGAACGACATTAGCAATATTATGAGGTTTAAATTCATCAGTTCCATGTCCATGACGTTTACCGACTATAATACAATAAGCAAGAGCTGCGGTACCGGATGCAATGTGTACAGGAGTACCACCAGCAAAGTCAAGAGTACCCAACTTGTTTGCCCATCCGTCAACATTCCAAGTCCAGCAAGCAATAACATCATAAACAATAGTCGACCAAATAAAGATGAATATAATAGCAGGAACTACACGACCACGTTCAGCTGCTGAACCAATGGCGAGAGCAGGCGTTATTGCAGCAAACATACATTGATAGATGGCATATACTAAAGCAGGTACAGTAGATGTTATACTAGCTTGTGGATCAAATCCTACATTCAACAATAATGCATGATCTAAATTTCCAATAAAATGACTGGAGGAGGGACCAAATGTTAGACTATAACCCCATAACCACCACTATTCATAAAAAAAAAAAATAATAAAAAAATTAAATGAATGAAAAAAAAAAATTTTATTTTTTTTTTTTAAAGAAATATATATATATATATTTATTTGAAAATATTTTTAAATAATATAATTACCTGAAAAGATACAACAGCGGCTGATAACATTCCGAGCATAATAAGTGATAAAGCATTTTTACTACGAGCCATACCACTATAGAAATATCCTACTCCTGGAATCATAATGAACACCAATGCTGTAGATGCTAAGGTCCAAGCAATATCACCATTGTTAAATGGTGATGGTGTTGCTGCTGGTGTAGCGGTCGCATTAGTATTATTCGACATTTTTGAATTAATATACTTAGATTATATGAAAATGTATTATTTAAGGAATTAAAAAAAATTGATCATAAAAAAATATGACCAATTTTAAATATTACTTAGTTTGAGGATGGAATAAAAATAAATAAAGGATAGATTCCAAAGAATTAATTTCTACGGGGTAACCAAAAAAATTCTTTGGAGAGAGAGAGGTTCGTGATTTTTTGTGCAAATAATAAATAGGAAAAAAATGCACTAGAACTGGAGAACCACTTTTTTTTTTGGTGAGGAAAACCAAGCCCAATTAATTTCATGATTTTTATAATTTTTTGGTTTTCGTTTATTTTTTTCGGGAACTGATAGAAAATGTGAAGTTTATGTCAACCCGACATGTAACTCTGGTACATAGATAAGAACTCTTGTTGTCACAAGACTGTAAATAATATTTTTTTCTTTGTTGAAAAGACTATACTTTTGCGTAACAAGGAACAAAATAGCTCTAAAAGTGATCTCGGATATAAAGTAATAAAATAAACACCGTAAAATAATATCTGTGAAATGTGATAAATTCGAGTTGCACAGTATAAAAGGAAACGGATGTCGGATTTTCCGTACTTGATACGACATTTTAATAGTTAATTGCTAATTCAAAATAGAGTTTTAACTTATTCACTATGCATATTGCGTATACTGTAAGATAACAGGCGTGCAACTTCAAGTACATAAAAGTGTGTAATGCAAGACACGTATGTACGTAGCAGGTAAGCATGTATGTACATTACAGCATTAGGAGGATCGATAAAATTCTAACAGTTGCTCACGTTCACGAATTTTATGTAGTGATATTTAGAAGAAACTTTTTCTAACGCTAATAATGTAATGTATTATTTTACACGTATTTTTATCCGAATTTCCTATTTAAAGAAACTAATTAATTAACGTTTAATTTTAAGCAATACTATAAAATTGTTAAACGGCATGCACTTATTTGTACGAGTGATACGTACGTGATTTCAAAATCCGAGAAAAGAAAATAGTCAATTCGAGAAATTTATTTGATCAGCCAAACACGTGTGCAAAGAAAAACAAAAAAAAAAAGCGAAAATACAAGAAAACGAGTGTTTAAATTTGCCTTGTGAGACTAGTTAAAAATGACAGGAATGAAATTCTACACTCAGAAACTTGTTATTTCTCCTATAACTTGAACCTAACTCGTTCTACGTATCTACAGGTCTTTTTTTTTTGTTTGTATCACTCTCATAATTTGTAAACTGTTCATACATACATTCTTGGCAAAATAAACTTACAGTACTAACGAGATTACCCGGACCAATCAAATTCCTAATTTTTAAGTCTCCTTTATTTATGTGATAACTATGGAAAATGTAGGACATTTAATTTGGTAAAATTTCCGTTGTAGCAATCTTGTAACCTAACATTTTCACAAATTCCCACACATTTTTATCTTGAGATGATAATCAAGTCAGTAAATCTATAGTAGCAATGATTTACTCAATTAATTCGAAGCTATTGTTCTATTAAGAAATAACCATTACTTTTTTGTAAAGCGTCATAGAGATAACGTACATGCGTACGCACCTCTTTCATCGTTATCGATCTTTTTGCATGTTTATCATTCTTACTGTATTAAGAAATGAATTCTCGGAATAGATCAATCGACAATTACTCTGCTGCATTATATGGCGCAGATATATCGACATTGTCGTTATACGTATACCACTGTATTAAACCTAGTTTGGAAATAAAGGCCCAGCACGTACTCACGCACAAAATCTTGAAAAAAACCAACTGTTCATAGTCGCGACAAAGATATTTAAGTCTGTTGATGATTAGTACTGAAAATCATAACAATAAAGATAACGATAACAATAACTGAACATTAGCAGACTTTAATTATTAATTGTCGCTTATGGATTAATGATCTTTTACTGTTCCAGGATTCTTTTTTTTGCAAACTCAAAACAATATCGTTCTTGTCGTTAACTAAGTTACGACAATAGAAGTGATTATGGTGGTTGGAAATCTTTCTCTGGAACATTCCCGGGAAAATCATGAATCTGATAAATTCCAGTTCAAATTTTACAATAATGGTTATTGATAATCAGGTATAACCTGGATCAACAAAAGTGCTTATTTAACCGCTTATCTTGAAATTTTTTCCTTTTATGCTCTTCTTTTAATGCAAAAACACTAACAAAATAATAATTGTTTAAAGTCTATGCTTACATTAATAGATCCGGTTTTCTTTAGCCACTGTGAAACTTATTACAAGAGCAAAATTATCTGAATTACTAATCCGGATATCTGTTTTCGCATATTTCATAATGATCGATTAAATTTCGAGGGTTAGTGCAAGCGCTTATCGTTATCTTTATGTAAATATTAAATATTATGCAAATCACCTATTCTCTTTAAGGGCTTCTGTATTTGTGTTGTTTATAGATTTTTGGAAATTTTTGTAGAGATAAAAAATTCTCCGGTCCTTGCTTGATGATTACTAAAGTTTTGTCATGTGGCTAAATGTATATAATGTAGTCTTTGTTTGATATTCTTTTTACGTACGTACTTAATACAATGTATAACAATGTGTTTTCGTATTGGTGCTGCTAAGGCTAATGTGATATTTCCCGAGTATTACTTTATTTTAGCACAAATTAACTATGTAATACTACGTATAATTAGGATTAGGTATTATTTATTGCTAAAATCATGTATGACGTAATTTATAGTCATAAATTGCGACAGCGACAATGATACACGTATAATGAACAATTACCAGATTTCTACCTTTAAATGAATTTTAAATAAATGAGCTTAGAACGAAACATATCACTAAGTTTAGTTTGTTTAAATGTTACACGGCATTAATTCTGTAATTATTTATTATCAGTGAAATCTGAGCAAACCTATTTCTAGTATTTAAAAATTAATAATTCCGCATTGCATTCCCTTTTTTTGTTAAAAACATTACTGTTTAGTATGAATTTTACCGGTGTGCTTCAACCTATGGTAAAACATATAATTCACATAATTCATTTCAAAACATTCCATAAGTGGTTATATATATGCTTTATTATAGTCTGAAACATTTCCTACCGTCTAGCACTGCTTATACTGTAATAACTTCATCAAATATGTAATATTTATCTCATGATTAAGACTCAGAAACTTTTATGTTTTGATTACAATATAAATTTGGATTGAAATACATGAATAATCTAAAATTTTACTAAAAAATATATTATTATTTTATAATTCGAAAAGCTTCACAATGACTTTATTCGTTTGCAATTATTATAATTATTGTGCTATATAGCTTTTATTTACCTATACTAGGATTTTAATCTATATATTTTAATATATACAGTATATATATATTATATAATAAGCAAATAAATTTGTGAATTTTACATAATCATGCATGCTCATGCATGATCGAGCATAATTATGCTCATGCATAAATTCACAAATTCGAATATATATTCGAATTTATTTAAACTTATTCGAATCAATTCAAATTCATATTCATATGAATTAATTCGAATATTCAATGAATCGAATATTCGATTCCAACCTCTAATATGTATATATCTATATATATATCTATATATATATTAAAAACGAATATGCACGTTGGACAACCCTTGCATATTCGTGTGCATACAGTTTTTTGGGAACCAAAGAAAAAATCTAAAATTATATATACAATGGCTGCAAAAAAGATACCTCAAACTAATAAGTCTGCTAGAGACACATCTCAAGATCTCGATTGGTTTGCCAACTATCCAATCACTCAAGAAATGGAACAAAATACAAAACTAAACACAACACTTGCACAGAAAATCTTCAACTTTGCCAAAATTCATCTTCACCAATTTACTCCAGATCAACCAATCCCAACTACTGCAGGAAAAGAGCCAACTTTTAAACTATTTCAAAAACAAAGTTTTAATTATTTACTCAAATTCATGGCCTCAGAAAAACCAGAATTTTTTACAGAATTTCTTTAACAATCAAATCAATCACTCTCTCCTGAACTTAATATTTCTCAATATGTCTATACTTCGACCTTAAAAAACCTACTTATCAAATTCACTAAACTTCTTTTTACCAAACTCAATTACGTCCACATCTTCAAATCTTATTATGAAATCCCTCCTTACTCTATTGCTGACCATAGTAAAGTAGCAATTAACTTTGCTTACTTATATCTTTTTCTTCATAACAAATATAGAACAATTCACTATCAAAAATTTATCAAAAAACTTGATATCTATCCACTTAAACTTTCTTTACAATATAACTTCGAATATGATAGTAAAAAACCTCTCTTTAGCATCCACAATAACAACTGCTTCACAATCACAGTTACTTTTAATATTCCCAAATCCAAATTTGCACACACTTTCTGTATTTCTTTACTTAAACCCTATACTAGCAACTTTGATTCTTGGTATAAAAATTTCTTTAAAGTCTACAAAAAACAATTTACCGATATTAATAAAACCAAAGTCTGCAACTATCTTAAATACCAAATTGCAACAACACTTACTGAAAATGTAAAAAACACTTACTCTTCAAATATGAAATTACCAATCCTTCTTCTCTCCAAGACCAATCTTTCCAGACTACTAAAGCAGCACTCTTCCATATTCATACTTGCAAGGACAAAAATTGCACTCTCCTACCTAAAGATACTGAATACAACCTATCTAATCTATCTACCTTCTTCTTCGATAAATCTTTCAAAACCTTTCTAGCACCTCCTAAAGAAGAAGACCCAAAAATTACTCCAATTGACTTAGATTTCTCTATCTTTCATCCTGATAAACAATACCTAGCAACCTTTAAAAAAGCCTTCTCAATGCAAACACTAAATATACTCGCTACTAAAGCAGACCAAAAGTTTGCAGAAAGTAACAAACTTAAAACAAATCCTAAAAGAACTGCATATTACCTCTACTTATACTTTAAAGCTCACCTTAAGACAGCATCATTAAATG